TTTGTTTTTTGTTTTTGCTTTTAACAAAATAAGTTTTCAGGTTATTCATATGTAATTACACAAAGATAGTCCCTAAAGCAGAGGGTTGCTGCCTATTGGACACAAACTCGGCTACTCTCGCCTCCATACTAGCGCGATATCCCTCCCTATGGTAGGCGGCGAACATTGTTGGTGTAAAGAACTGATGATTGGTAGAGTGCTGTGGGAAAACCCCACATAACGCCTCAGACAAGCTGCGACATGTATTCCCATGGCAACATTCACAGCAACAGAACGTCAAGCGATTAGCTTCCTCCGATGACAGCTCGGGACCAGCCCCCCAAAGACCAGCCTCCAGGTCTTCATCCATGTCACGTAATGCTTCTTCCCAGGTCACATAAGGTGTAGTTTTCACTGCTTTGTCAGGGTGCCTGGGGACTATGTACAGAATTTCTCCTTCTCCAACTTTAGTCTTACCGTCGCTGTTAACGTTCTTGTCATAATAATGTACTTTGAATCTGGAAAAAAAAAAAAAGAAAAAAAAAAGAAAAATAAGACACTACAACAGCTGTCGGTGCGGTGCATTTCCAGACCTATAATTTGCCTAACCGTCCTCTAGCCGTGCTTATTCCAGGCAGCGAGTGCCCTATCTTTTTTATAAAAAGGATTAGGCTAGATTGGGCAAGAAAGAGAACAGATACATTTTGCCGTTGCAATATTATTAAATCATACAAAAAGTTTTGTTTGTTTATTTTTTTTACGTTCACACCCTGATAGCTCCTCAGTCATCTGCAATTCAGTGATATACGCTTAGTATATATTCGCTATACAGAAAATTAGGGAGATGACATTGACAACAGATTTCTGCACTTGAGGAAGTCTTTTTCCTCTGTTAAACACATTCTATCCTTAAGTTCCATAACGATCTCATCATTTATTTGGTTTCTTGGAAAAGGGATCTGTTGCTAATCACCCGGTAAATGCTCATTAATAAACTTTGGAAGGTTAATTAAAATACATCTGGCCAATTCTACTCGCTCCGAGGATTGTTTTCTCATCGCCAGCCTCGCCGCCAAATGAAATTATCCATAACATTTCAAGTTGAGTGTCATGCGCCTGTGGTAGTTGCAAGGATTCAGCAAACACAAACATGAATTGTGAAACCCTTGCACTGTATGTTATAGGAAGAATTTGGTATAACTTATGGTGGGCAAACTGAATAAGTTTTCGTAGGAGCGAAAGAAAACAGCAGGGATAGCTTATCTTGCTTTATATAGCGTACTTGTAATCGCTCGGCTTTGACCCGGGGATCCTCTCCACGAAGTTATCCCGAATATCCGCGGCTATATTCAGAGCAATCAACAAGGATTTTCCATAGTCTTTCTCTAAATTAGAGCGTCCTCCATCCACTACCACGATATTTCCCAGTCTCAGTTTCAATAGGGGAAGAATACCAAGATTTTCAACATGGTCGTCGTCAGTCAAGGATAAAACAGGTGGGGGTTTGGGTCCTGTTTTGGTGGTATTCATCATTAAACGATAGTAGTGTACGGAAGAGACGTTGATCGTGAACCATCTGTCAAATGGAATAAAATATAAATAACTAAAGTGGTGAAGAAAATAAGTAAGTACTATCTAGGATATTTCGACTGAAGTGGAGAATTTCGAACGTAGTGAATGTATTTTTTGAGTAATGCTTCGCCCTCGAATGCACATGTGAATCTTGGTAAACCAGAGTCAGTACAATTCAGTTTGAAGTCATCCTTATTAAGTCCCTTCTTGGTTTTATTAGTTTATTTTATCCTAATTATTATCATTATGATTGAGCAGAGAAATATCTCAATGTCTGTTGCAGATATTAAGTTATCATCAGTTCAAAGTGACTAGTTCCCAAGCCCCTCGTCCGTGAAGTGTTCTGAAACTTTTGAGATGTATTAATAAACTATTGAAATCAGCAAGCCGTTACCTGGTGAGTCGTTCAAGTCTTCTGACATTTTTTCCTCCAGTTGGTACCAGCGCCAGTAAGGAAAATATCAGACAAATACCAAAATGAATCATCATTCTAGCAACCAAGACGGTTTCTTTGTCAATCTTCGCAAACAGGGTAAGAATGAGAGCCAAAGGAACCAAACGTATAAACTCTATTAGAACAGGAAGGTTCTGGAATGAAATATGTGATAGTAAAGGTTCTAATATATTCTATATACAAGGCTAAAAGATCATGAAAAGAATATATTAAAATGTTTGAACCAAACGTTTTCGGCTGTTTGCCATCATCAGGGTTGAAAATAATGACCGTCTATACATACATATATATCTTATGTGATTCCCGATGGGAAAAGTTTGGAGATATAAGAAATAACTTGTTTGTTCAAACTTGGGCGGAATTGTTAGTAAACATCTCTGGATCTGTGAGTGTTTTTGTCTTTGTTGTTAATTTAATTTTTATTTATTTATCTACTTATTTCCTGATTTCTCTTTTCTCTTTGTTTACATAATTAATAGCGTATAAATACCTTGGTTAGTGTAAATATAGAATAAAGGTAAAGTAAGTCTTGTGTAAATGAATGAATGAAAAACTCTTGAAACATCTTTTATCAATGCTGATTATCCCAAACGTTTTATTTCGCATACAATCAACTTTCTAAACGACTCATCATAAGATGACAACATCATTCCGCATTTTCTCTTCGAACGGCTTTTTATCAAGCTTCCTTTTTGCGGTAAAAAAGAAAAACTCGGTAACACGTTTGTTACAAAACTCAACAAGTTCACTAATTTTAATTTCATCTTTGTAATCCTGTTGCAAACAAGGCAAATTAAAAGCCTTTTTAACAAAGACAAAGACACACAGATCCAAAGTTGTTTACAAAGGAGATTGTTCTTGTGACGTTGATTACATTGGCGAAACTGTGAGAAATCTAGCAGTACGTATTGCGGAGCATTCAAATCCTGCTCACACCTCTGAACCTGCAAAACACTTGGGGGAAAATCCATCGCATTCTTTCACTTGGCGTATTCTCTCCTCACTAGAAACATTCCACAAGCGTAGGATCGAGGAGCTAATGATCCAACAATTCCGCCTCAGTTTGAACAAACAAGTTATTTCTTATGTCTCTAAACTTTTCCCATCGGGAATCATATAAGATATATATGTATGTATAGACGGTCATTATTTTCAACCCTGATGATGGCAAACAGCCGAAAACGTTTGGTTCAAACATTTTAATAATTATTTTTTTCATGATATTTTAGCCTTGTANGATCCAATACCGATTTCTCCAAACTAACATCATAAGAACTGTAAGCAGACAGTAAGGGGAATTACTAATGAAATCTTGGTAATGCAAGGGAAGGCGAGGAGAAGCAGCAGCTATCAGCTATTTTGGCCTCTCTATTAGTTAACAGTTAGATTCCATATTGATAGCTTTTCACAGAATTTTCACTACATCAATCACGCCAGAAATTTGTCACTTCTAATGAGATGTTCGCTCGATGGATGTGTGGGATTCTCCACTACAATGAGATTCTGTTCCCTTAACCAGTTATGCATCATGATCACCTGTACGCAGAAGTGTCGTTTGTTTTCATGCCTCTGATCAGCCATAATAGACGCCCCAACAGAGAGTCCCAACATCACCGACATTTTTATACCTCGCAGGTTCTTTTGCTTTGCAGAGGACAGAGAAAAAATGTACAGTGCCTTAAACGCACGTGCTAAGCAATTGTCACGCTCGTTATATCTTTTCGTTAGCGCCCATGAAAAAACAGAAAAAAAAAAAAAAGATCGAGATTCGGGGAGTTTTGGTTGACCGGTAGTTAATGAGTGAAAATGCTCTTCCAATTTCAGCCCACCTAATTTCCAGTTAATTGATATTTCTAAACTCACAACGATATTTGCAGCTTTCTTTTAAACTTCTTTGGAAACCAGCCTAAAGCGCTGCGGCATCTTTCCTCGTTCTGCAATTCAATGAAACTGTCCGAAAAGCGCGGCGTCGATTAATTTGAATTTACCCGCCTCTTAACGTCGAAAACTCATTTGAATTACAAATGATTTTCTAAAATTAATATTCATATTTGCACTGAGTCTTGCACGAGGAAAGAAATTACAACTAACAAGAAATTTTTGTCTTCTCTAGCTTCTATGCAGTCAAGAAAGCATATAATTTCGACCTTAT